TTTTCGAAGCCTTAGATAGAACAAGGGCGAGAAAGGGTTGGAAACGACAAGTCACCACGACAGATGGTCCTAATGGATTTCTGATCTTGTTACGAGAGGAAAAAAAATGTTGACTTTCCTCGGGGTTTCCCTGGGACCTTGAAGATCTCTCTAGGTCACCTCTATTGCACTCCTAACAATTAATTGCCTGAATACTAATAGGTTGTGAATCATTTATTTGCTTGAAACAAAGCGTGATCAGACATGCCGCACACGACACATTACCATAATAAAGAAAATTCTGACCAGACTGAGGAGGAGAATCCGAGAAAAACAAGATGGGTTGCTGAACTCGCGAAAATCGACGAGAAAACGCAAAAATAAAACTGTTATGGACCACAGCGTGAAGTCATCAATTATAATACGCGACGCATAAATGATTTCATAAGTTTATGGACGCTTTTATGACTAAGAACAATCATGTCACTTCAGCTCGCAACATTTCATAAATTTTAACACTTTACGACGACGAAATTGCGTCGACTTCCTTGCTTTCAAGACTTATTTATTTCTGGTCGATTTATTTATTATATTTTTTATATCTGGGGGGGCAAACCGAACAAACTGCCAAAAAGGCATCAATTATTGCAAATCATTAAAAATGTCAGAAATTTTCAAAATAACCTCTTATAAAAAATTTAAGTTTAAATTAAAGTAAATTGGCAAAAACTTTGGAAACCAAATCAAAATTCTGAAGTGAAAAATTACATTTTTGAGATGATTAACAATAAATTGAATTTAGAAAACCCAAAATCGATGATTTTAATCTTCTCAGTATGCTTTAATAAGAGTTTGGGAATTGAAATATAAATATCTTGAGACACTATTTAATTTTTTTATGATTTAATGTTTGCAAACGTTTAAAAATCTAGTTAAAAAATCCACATTTTGGGAAAAATAAAAACAATTTTTTTAAAATAGTTTCTTACGACTTTAAAAACTAATTTCTAAAAGTTAAAAACCTTCAGATTTTGGAAACCAAATAAAAATCTTGTGAAACTAATTAAGCAATTCTGAACTCTTTTACATTTTTTTAAACAAAGGCTTTTAAAAAAATGTTCCAGGTTGGAAGAAACAAACCGAAGGTTTTATTTTATTTATTCAATAAAACTAAAATTAGCCTAATTCTAGGATAAAACTAAAAGTCTTGCATTAAATTCAAAGAATTAGAAAATAAATAAGAATAACTTTTTTAATAAACGAAACAAACCAAAATAATTTTTACAAGTACGTTAGTGAAGAATTGTTATTTCTCATAGAAAAGAATTTTTTACCACA